TGTTATTTTAGTGTTCCCTTTATTTTTTTGAGCAGTGTAATTTTCAGCTCCATAAAGCCTTGGTTTCACAATTGTTCTTGATGATAAGTGATTGGTTGTTTGATGTCACACATTAGAAGTAATATTTCCTCAGGGTATTAAAGTTTTATTATTGCATTTTGCAGTTATTAGACAGCACAGTGGAGAGTGCTAAGGAACGTGTGTAGAGAGAGGGAAATAAAATACAATAAAAAAAACAATCTATCTAGATTTGAAACGGGGATGCTGCAGTTAACAACATGGCATGCATCCCAGACTGCTGACCCACCAGGAGGCTCTCCCAGAGTTTATTCTATTACAGAGCAAAATTAAATAAAATAATGCTGTGGTCGTCCTTTCATATTCTATAGATCAGCCTCTTCTTATGGTTGACTTCCCTTTGTCAGTACATTTTTATTTAACTTTATTATCTCAGGAAGATTATCTGGTTGTTTGCTCACTGTTCTTTGCATTTCTGTCTGTCCTGATACTTTCTCCGTAGATAAGACCAATGCGCTGACGGGCCACAGTCCCAGCAGCTCTGTGGAGGGATCTACTCACAGCTCAGGATCTTCAAAGGTAAAAGCAGCATTTGAGAGCAATCTCAACCAGTATTGCTCTCATTATAAATAGCTACACCTTTAGCAGAACAAATATCCTCCACAGCAAGACAAATGGAGTTTGTTGCATATTTCTTTTTGGTCTTGTAGTCTCCTCTTTCTTGTGGTTTGACATGGACATTGAGCAAGGAAATGTTCTTTAGATTTATATCTATTGATGGCACGTCCAACCTGGTCAATCCTGAGAATTTAGAATAGGATAATAGCAAATAGCAGATTTAAATTAAAAAGAAAACAAGGACAAAAAGTCAACACACCACTACAGGTTTGTATTATTGCAATCATTTTTTTACTGTAATAACTAGGAGCTCATGCATATTTCATTAAACTCTTGAAACTCATCAGCTGCTTTGCAGTAATGAATTTTATGTACATTATTTATAGAAAATTTAAAAGGCAGAAACAGGCAAAACCACCAGGATGGTACTGCAAAGTGTAAAATAACATGTAGAAACATATGTTACTTGATTTATGGACATTTAGGTGACGTTTACTTACTAATTGCAGGCATAACTGACTGATCTATTTGTGTCATTGGGCCTTTCCTTTGGCTGGAAGGATCCTTTAATCAGAGAGACGTACTGTATGTGGTACCTAATTTCTGTTTACTGTTGACATGAGGCATGCATAATGACACATGTACAAAAACAACTTAATACCGGTAAGAGAGCTTGAAGAGTTGTCTTTATTTGAAACACTTTGAAATCAGAACCAGCTTCAAAACCTGGTGACCTCAGCTCTAACCCTTAACCTCTGACCCGCCAGGAAAAAATGCCTGCATCTGTAGCGGAGACGGAGGAGGTGGTGGCTCCCAGCATGGAGCCAAAGCTGACCAGCAAACCAGAGGAAGACTTAAAGGCTCGCCGATTAGAGGCCATTAAGGCTAAGGCTTTCGAAATTGAGAAGGTAGCAAGATTTGCTCCACGAAAAGAAATAACATCTGTGAATTCTCAAGAAACGCTTTGTTGCTCATGCCATAATATAACTTGTCCCTATTGTCTTTGTCGGATCTGCACCTTTCTCTAGTTGTATCACAGGGTCTTTAATATACTACAAAAAGCTTAATCTTAACCAGGCATCACCTATCACTGAGTTCTAAAATCTTATTTTCTTAAAGCAAGTAGAAGAAAGCTGCCAGTGATGTGAGATTGTTCTTCTGGTTCCCATTATAAACCTTTAGCTTTAAGAGAGATGTTCTTCATAATAAAGGAGCAATATGCTTTATTCTGTCTTGTTTCAGGGATACACACTCATTTCAGAAAGAGAAACAACGAGGAGAACATATTGTCTTACCTCATTGGCATTTTTCAGTCATCTCAGTGTTTGTATTCTAACGTGAGGCTCACCCATGATTGACATGATGCACCACATCTGAAGACCATTAATAAGTCAAGGTTACACAGGTCTGGGAGTGTGTCAGCGGGCAGTTCTCAAGAGAAACTAAAGTTGTGCCCTACACTATAAAACAACACATAGTGAAGCACTTATAAAAATATGTATTTTGCACATTGCAGCTGGGACATTGTATCTACAAAACTGAGATTTTTAATAGGTTGACCTTATTGTGTGGTTTTCCCACATTGCATATGTGGGCTTTACCCTGATCTTGAGGTGGGTCATGTATCCAGACAACCCTTTTACACTGGCTTTATGATGCGGCTAAGAGTCAAGGGGTTGATGTAAAAGGTGTATACATGTGCCTTGGCTTGCTACACGTAATATTTAAGAAACCCTGTATTTTAGAAAAATTTTTTGGTGAAGAGAAGCAGGATAAGTCAGCAGAAAAGTCCTTAGCAGCTCAGGTTGTGATGCCTCTTCTGGCCTGCGATTTGCACTTTTTTCCCCCTCCTACTTCATTGCTCTGCACTACAGTACCACTTATCTGTTCCCGTTAAAGCAGGGCAGGAATTGCCCTGCAGGATGCAGGCGGCCCACCCACAGTGTGGTACGTCTCTTGGCATTAGCACACACATGCTTACCCTGCCATTTCCAACGGCTTCTACAGACGTGGTGAGAGGTAGAAACCTCTACTGTGTCTTTACTGTAACATCTGCCCCAGGCTCAGTTAAACACACACTGATCCATCGCTGCTGTGGATTGCCAAACTGAGCACATCAGGTTGTGGGCAGAGCTAGATCTCAGACTTCCTTAAAGTGGTTTTAAAGAACGGCTCTAGTCCACAGCAGTTAGTGTAAAACAAGCATGTCACAAAGACCAAAGTGAACTACTCCATCCTTTTTTTTTGGTCTTTCCTAAATGGGCTATAATACTGTGTATATAACCGTGTTAGCATGGGTCCGGATCAGTCGGAAATGGATTTGTCACACCAGCATAGCTCATTGTTTGTAGGCCGAGAGCATTTTGTAATGCATACTTTCTGTGGGTGTTTCAGGGTTTTAAATGAAATTAGAATCCTCAAACAAGTTCACTGACACAGTCAACATCCCTGCTTTTGATACCGCTTGTCATAAGATGTTAAATCATTTCATCACAGGCATATTGACCAGCATGCAGTTGTTTTGTAAATTTTCATCCCCATACCTCATTCTCTCACCACAGAACAAATGATGTGAGCAACAACACAGGAACTCAGAAAATTCAAAACCCTTTCAAAAAAAGCCAAGTGCCTGGGAGTGATTTTCAAAGAAGTCCATTCATCATCTCAATCAGCACAAATGAAACATATCCATTTCAACTATTAGCCCCTCCATTGAGAGGTCCGGTTTGCAGCTTGAGTGATTAAAATGGCTCTTTTAATATCCCCTAATGTGTACCAGCCCTCAAGCTGTTACCCTACTTCCCTTATTATGCAGGACCCCTGCCTGCATCAGCGCTCATTTGAACATAGCCTCACTAAATGTCCATGTGAGTGCCTCATGTATAATCTCACTTACCACCCCAAACTTCCCAACCCCCACCCGGCATCCCAGCGCACACTCCTGTCAGTATGTTCACAATTTGGACCTCCACAAACATCCGATTTGGGCAGGAGCCCACTTTTTAAGGCTCCTTCTTAAGGCCCCTAGTGTTACTGTTTCTGTTGGGGCTCCAGTCCGTCCTGTGTGGCCCCTTAGTATCACGCTTAAAGATCAGCTCATGGCTCCCACTACAGGGAGGGAACTTAGGCAGAACCTCCATGCAACCTTTTCTCACAACACACAGAGCACGCTCAGGTCAAAGCACTCTTCCTGTTTGTTCAAGTAACATGGCAGAAGTTTTTACAAATAGAGCAAGCTGTTTGAAGTCACCTTGTGACTGTACTGAAATAAATTTGATTGTCTTCATCTAATGCTCATATATATATATATATATATATATATATATATAGTGTGGTCACGTGCATGTAAGCACATGATAGCTCACAGTCTTCTAAGCTCCAGTACCATCAAGGGAAATTTCTCAATTTGAACTCAGAGTTCATTATATGGCCACTTTTTCCAACCCTTTGCTCATCCTATTTTGAAGCTTTCAAGTGTGTAAAACTGTGTATATGGGATATAATGAAGTGAAAATGCCATCACTGTCAACAAAGGCTGTAGCTTGGGAAAAGCTTAGGAAGGCTTTGTTTTGAAAGATGGCAAACATAATCAACCCTAAGTGATTAGAGGGGTACTGGTTTGTGGGACATACACCACATGTTTGTGTGTCATTTATCCCATGTTTCCTCTCACATCTTCCAACCTGGAACTGTTTTTTTTTTACCTCTCCTCAATAATGCTCACTTACTGAAAATGTTTATCAGAGGGGAAATCTGCACTTAAGAGGTGGTGGTGTGGAAATCTAAGAAGAGATCTAGGTTGTGTAAAAGAAAATTAAGCTGATATATAAAAAAAGGTTTAGAATAGCTTGGGAAGGGACAGCTCATACAGTAAGCAGACATAAGAAAACCTGTGTTGTTGCATGAAGTTGACCCTAAGCTTAGCTGGCCACATGTGTCGTGTGTCTCTCGCTTCCTTGTGGTCGGGGCTGAAGACTATCATTATGTGGGGCCTCGATTTCGCTTGACATGATCTGCAGACATTAAATCATCAGCCTGAGTCCAAACATCTCCCACAGTCTGGGAAATTTCTGTTGGAGATTACGTGACTTGCTTTTCTCGGTGTGTGTACAATACATGTTGTGATAATAATGTGTATTGCTATAATATTCATAGTCATAATAGTTGTTTTACCCTACCATAGCATTTGACATTTTTTTTCCCGGTAACAGGAGCAAACAATGTTCCAAATTCATGTGCTATAACACAGAATGTTGGTTAGGGATGCGGGAACAGATAAGTGCGCATCAACTATCTGAACATGCTGTAGCTAGTTCAGCAGGGGAATTATCAAGGGGGGGGGGGGGGGGGGTGAAATTTATAAGAAAGCCATGAAGAAGAACTGAAGTGGTTTAGGGGCTGGAGGCATTGCAGTTTTGTTTTGTTTTTTGAACATCATTGTAACACGCTGGTAGAGCAGAAAAATGAAATGCTTCAATTTCCCACCAAGTTTGGTGTTTCTAATTGTATAATTTTGCATTACCTTATTTAGCCTACTTTGGTCCTAATCTGAAACACACAATGGGTACCTGAGATTTTTTCCCACCCCAACAGCTTCTCTCAATAGCCTTTAGGCTTTGAACATGGGACCTTTCTCTTGCTTGAAACAAAGCGAGTGGTTCCCACGTGCCAAATTGTTTCCGTCCTTATTGTTCCAAGCTGAATGTCATTATTTTTGTTTCTTTGACCTTTTCTGTATGTTCAAAGAACCACCCAGCCGAGCCCCCTCCCAGATTTAAATGAAAAGGGTCATCTCGATACTGACTGTGGCAAATTTCTTGTTTCTTCAAATAGTGGAGACTCACAGTCCTACGTTGGATTTTCTTTCCTTTCCCTTTACTAGTGACACTCATAAACTCCACTAAATCAGTTATTTCAGACACTTTTCTTGCTCAAAACCTTGAAATACTCATCAAGTATAGTGAAGTAGGGCTGCACGATATATCGTTTCAGCATCGCCATCGCGATGTGCGCATGCTCAATAGTCACATTGCGGTCACGTGCGATGTCAAGCAAGGCAAATTAATAGAATAGTTTTGCTGCTTGATACAAAAGGAATACTGGCAAAGTTTTTGCACAACTAATCTACAGGTCTCTCTGATGTGACATAATTTACTCCGATTTTAGGGTTTAGGGATACACGGAGTTTGTTGCTAGTGAGTGAAAACTAGGCTGGCAGGCTGCACAGCGCACCACCGATCACAATATCTTGAACAGTTTATCAAAGCAGGCACCGCCCCCGCTATTTACAGACAACAGGAGAAAACAAACGATCATGTGGATTTGGTGCCAAAACGAAAAGCAGCTTCAGTGGTTTGGAACTATTTTGGCTACTCAAAGGACGACATTGACCAAACCCAGGTACTTGGTACTTGTCCCCAGTGTCTTGTAGTTGTTGCCACAACACGAGGCAACACGACTAATTTGTTTGATCACTTAAATCGGCACCACAAAGCTCAGTATTACCAGTGCAAAGCCAGAAGTGAAGGCCATCCAAAGCAACAAAGTATTTCGGATGCTTTGGCCAGAGTTGCACCGTACGAGAAAGGCTCCAAACGGCAGAGAGAAATTACTGATGCGATAACTTTGCACCTCGCTAAAGACATGGCTCCAACCAATACAGTACCAAAGAGGGTTTCGAAAACATGATCCGGACGCTTGATACGCGATATAAAATACCATCACGCGCCTGTTTTTCTCAAGTTGCCATCCCAGAGCTCTACGACAAATGCAAGGCACAAGTTGAAACCGAGCTGTAACGCGTGGAATATTATGCAGCTACCACAGATTGGTGGTCCAGCCGGATAACCGAGCCCTACATTAGTCTGACCGTCCACTTTATTAATGAGGACTTCCAATTTAAAAGTCGCTGTTTGCAAACGGCATTTTTCCCGGAGGATCATACAAGTGAGAACATTGCAACGGGGATGAGAGAAGCGGTGGCTGCTTGGGGACTAGATGAGAGACGTCAAGTCTGTATAACAACAGACAATGCGGCGAACATGGTAAAAGCTGCCGCCCTGAACAAGTGGACCAGGATGCAGTGCTTTGGCCACAGATTGCATCTTGCAGTAGGTAAGTTATGCTTATGCTCATGCTATATTTATTTTACTGTTTGACTTAATAACTTGTTCTGCATTCTAACCACAGTTTTTTTCATAAATGTTAGTATTATGAGCAAATTCTTTTTAAAGGTATACTAATATCTTAACTGGAGGGCACACACACACACACCACTAATGTAAAACCCATGAGACAAAAGTTTAATATTTTGAAAATTCATATATCATTAAGACATGTAACAACATTCAGAAATTAGATCTTATCTTTAATTAATGCAAAACATCATTTTATAATTACTTTTAGTTCAAAATTTAAATTGTGTAAATTAATATGTACTTTGTTTTGTTATTGTTTTTTCCCTTAGAAAAAGCAGTGAAAAAGGATGGACGCGTTGACCGTGCTGCAGGTGTCTGCAAGAAGCTGGTGGGTCATTTCTCTCACAGCTGGAAGGCCAGATGTGCTCTTGAAAAAGCCCAGAAGGAACTCAATCTACCATCACATTCCCTTGTATCAGAATGCCAAACAAGATTGGGTTCCAGGCAGATGATGATCAGCAGGATACTAGAGCAGCAGAAGGCTTTAACTCAGGTCCTCTATGCGGACAAGAAGGCGCAGCATCTAATTCCAACCTGGCAAGATATAGATGTCCTGGAATCTGTCAGCAAGTTACTGGGCCCACTGCTGGATTTCACAGATGCACTTTCAGGGGAAGACTACGTTAGTGTCTCCTGTGTGAAGCCAGTTCTTCACCTCTTCAATGCTTCAATCCTGCTAATGCAAGAGGAAGACACAGACCTGACCAAGAAGCTGAAGAACGAGATGTTGGACTACATCAACGTAAAATATGAAGATGAATCTACTCAGGAGCTGCTAGACATGGGCTCTTGTTTGGACCCCCGGTTCAAGATGGACTTCATCAATGCAGATAACAAGGCCCAAGTCAAGGCCAGAGTGGCATCAGAGATGATGGGATGCCAGGAGACACCAAGCTATAGCACTGAAGTGGAGCCAAAAGATGCCGACACATCACAGGCAAAGAAAGCCAAGAAGTCCTTGGGAAGTTTCTTTAAACAAAGCGGAGCTGCAGTAAAGGGTGATTCCTCTCTGACACTTAAGGATGCTGTGGAAGCAGAGTTAAACAACTACCTGCTGACACGTTCCATAGACAAAGAGGAAGATCCACTTGTATGGTGGAAAACTCACAGAGTTAGCTTTCCACGACTCGCCAAGCTTGCCCGCAAGTATCTATGCATTCCTGCTACAAGCTCCCCCTCAGAGAGGATTTTCAGTGCAAGTGGCAACATCGTCACTTGCCAACACTCTTGTCTCAAGCCTGCAATGGTGGACAGACTGGTATTCTTGGCCAAAAACATCTCAGCTTGAATGAGTAATGCATACAGATGCTTAAGAGAAAGTGAAATGACCCTGTTTCACAAAATTATGCAACAGTTAATACTTGTTTAGCTGCTAGGAAAGCAGATTTTCTTTGTTTGAACAATGTGCCCAAGACTTTTTCCTTTGTTGCTAAGAAAAGTAGATTTAAAATTGTTTGTAAATAAAATGGTTCTATATTGATATTTGCTATTTATTAGTTGATACAGTTATTTATTGCAGTAAATTATATATTTATCTTAAGTTTTGTTTTTGCAAACCACTCAGGAGACTGGTCGTGCTGCTGCTCTTTTAGTTTTATAATTTTGTTAAAAGATGTCTACGTGAAAACCAAACCAGATTTTATACAATTGAAAGTTTAATTTTACCTTAATTTGTTCAACCATTATGACCAACACTTTGTTTTTATGTTTTTTTGAAAACAACTCAGGGGGCTGGTGTATAGCTGCTCTATTTGTTTTATTTCTATAATTTTGTTTAAAATGTGTTTATTGCATTAAAGACAAAGGATGGTGAAATCAAAAAAGTCTTAAGTCATTTTTCAGCCTATTTATTTTTTATTTCCTATACATTTCCCATACAAAATCACCCCAATAATTCTAGGATACTTAATTCATTCCAGATATTACTATTTAAGTCATCTGGTGAAAATTTCAGTATTTTTTCATATCGCAATATATATCGCAGAAAAAAAAATATTGCAATGTCAGTTTTTTCCAATATCGTGCTACAATGAATTTACAAGAGCCTTTGTGATCACTATACAAATTGATGGATACACGATCATGAGTTAGCCTCGATACACATTATGTAATGTGTATCTAGGCAAAGAAACAGCAGTTTGGTGGTTTTAAATTCCCCCATAACTGACAGAACCCTGGAATATAGCCGTCTAACCGGTTAACCTCACATTCTGCTCAAGACTGGACTGATTTAAGTTGACAGGCAGCATTTTTCTTTTCTAAGTTACCAAAGCTGATGGCTTGTGTTTTATTGCATTTAACAGACAGTTAATGTTTGATGAGATACTGTCAACTTATTTTGTCCTACAACTAAGGTCAGCACAGCCCACATTCCTTAAATGGTTATGTGGTCTGAAACTGACACAGATATACAGTCCCTCTAAGGAAGCTGCAACAGTTTGATTAAATCACTACCTTGAAGAAGTAGGTCATACCTCCTGAGACTTCAGTAAAATGGATACAAAGATTGACTTTTCCATCCAATGAAGAGATTACCTACAGCTGATTATGGAAAATAAAGCTTTATCTATAAAAAAAAAAAAAAGACATTTTACGGAGACAATATGTTTTGGGGGGGTAAACATGTCTTTTATGGCCACATAAATTAGCCTCTCTGTGTACGGCGATGTGTATCTAACCTTTACTAGTAATTTGATTTGATTTCTTACTTGTAGTGGCCAAGAAAGTGGTTGTTTTAAGCCACAGTGAAGCTTTCTGTCTGCACCAGTGACTCTAATTGGAGGGGAGAGGCGATCTGGGCTGCATTAACTCAACCCTGAAAGACCCCGATGTCATAGAGTGCTCCTTGACAGGGTGGTGTAGCCCTAACGCTGTAGGTGACTTCAGTGCAGGGCCCCACATTAAGCCATTTCTCCCCAAGTGATAAAGAAGTTGTGAGCTTGCACCTGGGACTCTAATAATGAACTTAACAGCCGTTTTGGGTCAGCAGTAAAATTTGAGAGGGATGTGAGAGCTTGTTACAATTTGGTGTGAAAGAATGCTACAGCACCGGTAACATACTCTGACACCTCATGTCCCTTTTGTTATGTGCGGACATGCACTTGAATAGGCTCGCATACAAACATTTTCACACCTGTTTCATTGAATACACCAGTTTACCAAAATTGGCTTCATTAAGTTCACAGTTGGGCGTCGTCGATACAAGAGCCGGCCTGTAGAATTCAAAGAGCTGTCAGATAGAGTTGCTCACTAATTTGTGAGGTCAATAAGTGAATAAACTACAAAAAACTTGAATTTCCTTTAATATACTGTTAATACTGCAATTGTTCCATGTACAAAAAATTCCAACGATTTCAATCATATTATAAGGTGCCTGGTGTTGTAACTTGACTTGCAAACTTGCTAAACAAATACACAAATATGTACTTCTAGTCTGTTATTTGTAGCAAAATATAAGTGTGTGTGTGCTCCATGTGCCGAACTTTGTAACACAACCTACTATCTTAGATTTAGCGGTGGTGTATTTTATAGTTGTAACTACAAATATGAAAAATACATGAGCATGAGTAAGCTTTAACCACCATTTCCTCTACTGGATCATGAAAAAACATTTGTTGCAATTTTTAGGTAACCACACCTCCAAAATTCAAAACGCAATGCCTGTAATTTTGATTATGTTCAGATGGGAAACAACATTATTATTTTCTGCTTCAAGTTAATTATACATTTGAATAATCTTTCAATAATATTGACCTGTAAAAGTGCCTTGAGGACAGACCAATGTCTAATGGGTCATTCTCATTTTAATCCAAAAAAGTTGGGCTTTATTTTTCTACACTTTATATTCCATTGTATCTTTATAAATATTAACAATCCTGATTTTTGTGATTGTTTTATGTGCAGCATTACAGGCAGGACTGTGAGACATTTCGCACAGTGGTGAAGATGTTGGTGACCAAGGAGCCCAGTTTGGATAATCTTCTGCAGGCTCCACTGGATGAGAACCTGTTGGAGATCAAACAGCGCTGCCTAGATTCCCTTAGGCACTTTGTGAAGGAGCTGGACGAGGTATTAGAGCAGCCGGACACCTCAGCGGAAGCCACAAGTCACAAGACACTGAAGTGACAATATTTCTTAAACTTTTATTTTTGAAGTAAGTAGAAAATTGTCTCAGTAGATTGAAGAATTTTGCCATTTTTCAAAGTTTTATTTTAATTATTTTCTTCAATCAAATAATGCTAACAGTGATTGATAAAAAAAACAAAGATTATAAAAAGTTGATTCATATGTGTTATTAACAAAGACATGATTTCTGGTGGCAGTAACGGTGACCCCTGATTCAATGCTAGATTAAATAATTGTTAAAATGCATATGTTGTTACAGTGAAATACCTATAGTATTATTTGTGAAACACATGATACAGTTTCTATGAAAGCATGGACAATTGAAATTTGAAGCTTCAGCTGGATTTTTACCCAAAGCTATGTTGTGGAAAAACTGTGAAATATTATGTTCAGTTGATTACAGATGCCATTTTAAATTGATATAAGTTAAATGTCTGATCATTGAACAAACTAGAGGCTTGGTCGTATTGATGAATCCTACTGTTAGGAGCACTAGCAGAAAGAATGACATGGTCAAATAACTTTCCTATCACAACTTTTTACTCAGTCTTAATTGATATATAGTATGTTGTGCTTCCAGTATCTGCATTGCAACTAATTCTGACTGTAACGCTAGGGTCCTAGTAACGAAGTGTCCGACTCTAAATCTTTAATGGATTTTTCATTGCAGCACTATTTTTCACAGAAAATACTGACTTTTTATATATAGATCATGTATTTTTCTCTTACTTTGAGTTGTAATTGAACAGCTTGTGAGTATGATCTTAAAGATTTTCAGTTAAACTTTTGTAAATAAAAGCTGAGGCCTTGAATTAAGTGATGATTTTTATATCCATGAACTACTTTTGTATAGGAAAAAACAACACAAATCATGATATATAGATATTTTTATTACAATTATCATCTTACTTATCTTAGCCTTATATTCCAGTTTGTACATTTATACAGATTACAATGAATTGCTTACAATACAGTGACCCATAAATACACCACTCAACCAGGCCTTTTAATACACACTCTGTGTGCGTGTGCGTGCGCGCGCATGTGTGTGTGTGTGTGTGAGAGAGAGAGAAAAACCAATTTTAAAAGCTTGGGTCAGAGTCAATTTGTCATTACATTTCTGACACCCTTATGGAAGAATGGCTCATTACCAACTGCCAATAGTTCTATGCCAATGCCATTGTGGTACAAAGCATGTCATGAGCTCAAGTGTATAAAAATAGCCATTTTGGTTTTTTTTTAATTCTACACTATATACATCAATATCTTCACTGTTAAATAAACACAGTTTAGATGGTGATTTATAAATATGTATTACTCTAAAATACTTTGTCACTTTACTGGCATTTGTGATGCGATGTGTATACCTTCAAGATTCAGAGGACTTGTGTCTTACACAAACACCTTGGTAAATTGAGTGCTGTGAAGCATTTAATAGCAAGCAGACTGTTATTGCCTTTTAAACAGTGGATATGAGTGGCAGAGGGTGACCCAAAGCTGAGGATAAGAGAGTAATGAAAGTCTATGAAATTATACAGTTTTTCCCTTTGTGCCCTCTCTTCTTTTTGGACTTAGTCCGTTGGCCATAAGGAGGAGAGGACATGCCTGCCACGGGGCTGGGCAAGTCATCAGTGTAGTAGTGTCTATGGGGCCTGGGCTGAGGGATGGGCTGACCCAGGAAAAAGCCTTCTTCCTCAGAATCAGAAGAGGAAGAAGAGCACGTGGAGCACCAGTCATCATCATCTCCATACAGCCCCAAGAATCTCCCCATGGCTGGTTCCTGTAGCCTGTAGTCTGTCATGGCAGTAGGATTGGGGTGGCCGTGGAAGGCTTGGTGGCTCTTGGGGCCGAGGGCATTTCCTCTACGGTCCACTTTGTAGCACATTTGGGCCCTCTCCTTGGGCAGAAGGTTAAGAGCATTATCAGAGCGAGACTTGCGACTGCGATGCCTCCTGTGGTGGTGATGTTGGCGTCCAGAATGAAGTTCCTGGCCCTGCTCCTCAAAGTGGTACACTCTCCGACGGGTCCGTTCACTCATAGGCGGCTGACGCACTGGGAGATCACAATAATGGCCATTGTCCACCACATCGTCAGAGAATTTGACTTGCTGTGGCCTAGATTGCGAACGTGTCCTCCTGAGGGCAGGTACATGAGGTTTGGGTCTGTCGTCTGGCAGAGGTATCTCCTCTTCCTTTGGAACATTTCCCTCCGCCTCCTCTTCCGGCTCAGATACAAGGCTCTTCAGGGAATTTGCACTTCTATGTAACATAGAGGAGTTAAGGGTTCCCATATTGCTGGTTTTCTCACAGTCTTCTGTCTCCTGTTCATGGAAGCCTTGCAGGGAATATACCAAAGGTCTATCTTTACTATCACCATCTACTGAGGCCCCTAGAAAAGAAAAATAGACAAATTGTAAAATATTTGCACATGGAGGGAAGTGTTGCCATAACATAAAAGTTTATTATCTATGATTTGGTGTATCATGTCATGTCTACTCACCAGTAATATTGGAGAGTGCCAGGGAGTCCATAGAGTCTCTGACACTATGATCGGTCTTCTTGAACTCGTCTGTGATACACTCCAAAGAATCATTATACCATTGTGGCTCCTCTCCCTGGAAGCCAGCTCCAGCACCGTGATCCAGCTCCAACTCCTGAATTTTTCTGCTGCTCGCAGGGCCTGGGTGGCTACCGTAGGCTGAGTCCCCTAGCCCATCCTGTGACTGGGCCCAGTACATGTCAGCTTGGTACTTCTTACTGGCCAGGCTCCCCCTTGCTCCTCCCCCACCACTGCCAGTTTTTGAGGAGTCCGGCCTCAATTTGGGATCCTTTTCGGCGATCCAGAAATCTGTGGGTCTGGAGTCATTGGCTTGCTGGAAGACCCCATGTTCCCCAAACTTTAAGAGCAGCTGTGTCATGTAGTCTTCGTGCTCAGCCCACTCCTCCTCCTGGTCCTCAGGTGCCTCTGCCTCCTCACCACGCCCCCTCCAGAAATTCTCATCAGATAAGTTCATGTGGGCAAGCTTGTTTGTCAGGGTGTCGTCAGCGTTTCCACTGAAGACAGGGAACTTATAGTTGACAGAGGGTGAGAAGAGAAGCGACTGTCGGCATTGGTCAGCTGAGCGACTGCTCTTGCCCATGCGCACACTGCGGCGGGATTCACGTGAGCGTGCTGACTGGAAAGCCGAGTCAGAGGAGTCAGAGGCATGCACATCTTCCCCAAGACTGCAGGCCTTAGAGCAGTAAATCCGACCCTGGTGTGGCAGGAAGGGGCAGCCAAGTAGAGAGCTCTTACACTGGGCACAGCTAAAGCAGCTCTCAGTGGCGTGCCAGTGGAGCCCATCATAGGTCATCTGAGCATGATCCACACCTGGGGAAATGTTGAGATGGTTAGCAATGCTACTCAGAAGGCTAGATAATAATGGCAGTTGTTTTGTTTTAACTCTAGAAAATCATCATCTTACCAATATGTT